AGCACCCCTACCAGCAGTAGTACATGCAATGACTTCCATCCGAACACACAAGAGTTTTATTTCAGTGATTAAATATTTTAATTTTGTTGGGAAAAGTGAAGTTTGCTGAGTGAATGACTTCACGAGTACTTTTTCTTCGGGCTGTTAAGACTTTTTTTAAGTTAGTAACTTAAGATAAAATTTAAAATATGCAGTGAGTAAAAGTACTTAGTGTACTCAAATGACAAAGGTCATCGTATTTGGGAAACCTTGACATGCAGATTTGATAAAACCTTTTAAATCTAGCACACAGGTCTTTTACACTGACCCCCAGTTGCCCTTCCAGCCTCTCCTTCCTCTAGCTGCCATCAAATGTGATAAACCCAGGCCACCACACTACAGGTCCCCATGATCCCCCCTCCTCTCAGTCTACACGGAGCACACCAGCAAGAGGGGTGCTGTTAAAAAGCAGGGCAAGTCAGGCCATCACCCTGCTCGAAATTCCCTTGTCAGGAAGCTTTCATTGCTAGGAGATGCATGCTAAAATATCAAGGGTAAGTGCCATTACATCTGCAATTTACCTTAAAACTATTAAGAGAAAAAAATATATACATCAATGTATATAGTATTAAGAACTGTTGAATCTAAGGAGTGAAGTAGTAACCATAGGGATTTTCTCTGTACTCTATTTGTTTTTGTCTTTTTGAGACAGGGTTTCGCTATACAGCTGAGGTTGGCCTTGAACTCACTTTGTAGCCCAGGCTGGCCTTGAACTTGCAGCAATCCTCCTGCCTCAGCCTCCTAAGTGCTAAGATTACAGGCGTGCACCACCACGCCAAGCTATACTCTTCTTTAAACTTTTTTGTACGTTTAAATTTTATCATAATACAAAGCTGTGAGAGAAACAAGACGGAAACATTGATAAATAGATGGAGGTGTTGATCAACGTGTGATAAAACTAATGTAAGACGTAACCAGCTGAGTCTAAATTCTCAAAATACAAGATTAACACACAAAAGCAAATATTTTACCTATCTACTACCAATGAACAAGTGGAATTTTAAATTAAAAATATAGTATCATTTCTGTTGTGCTCTCAAATATGAAGTATTTAGGCATAAGTGTTAGACATGTACAAGATATATTTGAGGAAAACTGCAAAGCTCTGGTGAAAGAAACTGAAAAGCGATTAACAAAAAATGGAGAGCCAGTTCACGCTCATGAATTGGAAGACTAAGATGTCAACTCTTCCCAGTCTGTTCTGCAGATTCCACGCAATCTCAGTTAAAATCCCAGAAAGTCATTTTGTAGATCTTGACCAAGTGATTGTAAGGTTTTAAACAGAGGAAAAAGAGACAGAATAGCCAAGACAACATTAAAGGAGAAGCCAGGCGTGGTGGTGCACGCCTGTGATCCCAGCACTCGGAGGCTGAGGCAGGAGGATCGCTGTGAGCTTGAAACCAGCCTGGGCTACATAGTGAGCTCAAGACCAGCCTGAATTGCATGGTGAGACCCTGTCTCAAAAAGGCAAAAACAAAACATTAAAGGAGAACAAAGTTGGAGGATTGACTTTGCTCTCTTTGAAGACTTACTACAAAGCTGCAGTCATCAAGAAGTGTGGTCCTGGTGAATGAGCACACAAACAGATGAATGAAATGGAGCCGAGACCCCAGAATGGACCACATGAGTGTAACCAGCTGAACTTCAGCCAGGGAGCAAAGGCCCTGCAGAGAAGAAAGGAAGTCTTCAATAAACGGTGCGGGAACAGTGGACACCCACTTCCACTGCACACAAAAAATCTAGACACAAACACTTCACGAAATACTGTACCTTTCACAAAAAAAAATTACTCAAAGAGATTACTGGCCTTACTGTAAGACGCAAATCTCTAAAACTAGAATAGAATGACAGAAAATCTAGATGACCTTGGGTGTGGCAATGGCTTTTGAGATACAGCCCTGTTTGTTTGCTTTTGTTTTTTTTTCTTCCAGTACCAGGAATCGAACTCACAACCTTGCGCTTGCCAGGCAGGAATTGTGCCACTGAGCTAAATCCCCAGCCCCTAGATACACCCCTGAAGGTATGGTCCATGGAAGAAAGAACCGACGGGAGGGACTTCGGATTGAAAACGTCTGCTGTGTGCCAGGCAGCGTCAGGAGGACGGGAAAGCAAACCGCAGACCAGGGGAAAGAATGACAAAGGAAACAGCTGATCGCGGGCTGTCATTCAGATATACGCAGAACTCCTAAAACTCAGCAGTAAGAGTGAGCGGGGAGGAGGGAAGGGAACGTGAACTCAGCAGTCCCAGCGGGTTTGCCGCTAAACCCCAGCAGGACCTCCGAGGGAGCGGAACAGAGGTGTCTCCCGCGGCCTAAGAGGCTTTTTTACAGCGCTTTCTGGTAGGCTTTTGAGAGGGTGATCAGAGAAACAGCGGGCTACGGCACGCTGATGTGTCCTCTGCGTCCTCCGACCTACTGATATGTCCTCGAGGGGCCGCTCAGGGCCTGCTGATGTGTCCCCCCTGACCTCAGTAAAAGGAGACCTACAGTTCTCTGAGACGGCGGGTGGGCTCCCTCAAACCGGCGGTGCCCCATCTGGGCTCTGTTAAAGAGAACGAGCAACCTGCTTAAAAAGTGGGCGACATGCTTTGACAGACACCTGACCTAAGGACACGTAGGAAGAGAAAATAAGCATAGAAAAGATGCTCAGATCTCACGCCTTATTTCTGAAATTAGGAGATTTCAAATGAAAGTAATGAGCCACCGCTAAGTAGCTATTAGAACGGCCCGAACAGAACGCCAACAGCACTGAATTCTGGCAGACATGAGCAGCCTCAGGCACGTTCGTTCACTGCCGTGCAATCTGGAACAACCACTCTGGAAGACAGTTCAGCACTTTCTTACAAAACTAACCTATACGCTTCAGCTATTTTGCTCCTTGCACTAACCTAATAAAATGAAAATTTATATTCACATCAAAACCTGCACACGGATGTCCACAGCAGCTGTAGTCACAATTTCCAAATGTGGGAAGCAACCAAGATGCCCTGCAGTGGGCAGATGGATAAAGAAACTAAGTCACATCCAGTCAATAAAATACTATTCAGTACTGAAAAAGCAACACAACGCCAAGTCATGAAAAGTAACTTACATGCATATTACTGAGTAGAAGAAGACAGTCTGAAAATGTTTTACACTGTATAAGTCCAACCAGATGACATCCTGGGAAAGGCGTAACTATGGAGACAATGAAAAGACCAGGGTTTCCCGGTGTTAGAGGCAGAGTCCTTTGCCCTCTCAGTGTGGGGGCAGTGAGACTATTCTGTGCTATTCTATGATGCTGGGCGCGTCATTACACACATCTCCAGACCCACAGAACGCACAACTCCAAAAATGAGCTCGAATGTCAACCACAGGCTCCGGGTTATAGTGACATGTCGACATGAGCTCATCGACTGTAACAAAATGCCACCCTGGCAGAGGACACTGACAGCAGGAGAGGCCGGGCCCGTGGGGAAGAGGAGGAGTACGTGTGAACTCTGTGCACCTTCTGCTCAATTTTGTTGTGAAGCTGAAGCTGCTCTAAAAGCCATCTACTCAATCGTTAAGCAACTGTTCCCTGCTTCCTCCTTTCCAGCCGTCTGACGGTGAACGCAGGGTGACAAAGCAGGACTGCAAGGCCCCCGTGCTCTGGCCTCCTCCGCATCATGACACCGGCCTCCTCGCCAGACCTAGAATGTCCAGCGTGCTGCACCCCAAGGCCTTTGCATATGCCCTGCCTTCTGCCAGGAACACTCTTTCCCTGGGGGCCTTCACGCCCTACCCCATGGTACTGGGGGTAGAAGCCAGGGCCTCAGCATTTAGCTGCATGCTTGTCCCGTTTTGTTTTGTTGGGACGGAGTCTCACTAAGTTGTTAAATTGTCCAGGCTAGGCTCTAAATTATGATCATCCTGCCTCAGCCTCCCAGGGTGCTGGGATTACAAGTGTGCATCACCACACCCAGCTTCGCGTATCTTTCTGAGTCTTTATTCAAATGTCACTTCAGTGAAGCCTTCTCTGTTTCCCTACTTTGAAGTGTAACCTCCCCCAGCCCTCCCTAGTCTCCTTGCTGTATTTCCCCCGCAGAACTTATGTATTTTGTTTAATGCCTTGTCTGCCTCCCTCCCACTAGAATGTCAGTTCGGCGAGAGCAGAGGTTGCTGCTGTTCTGTTTTTTGTTTTTGTTTTTTTTTTTTTTTTTTGGTTTTGGTTTTTCTCCGGTACCGGGAACTGAACTCACGACCTTGCGCTTGCCAGGCAGGCGCTTTTGCCACTGAGCTAAATCCCCAGCCCCGGTTGCTGCTGTTCTGTTCTCCGCGGTTCCTCACATCACAGAGACTAAGCCTCGGCAAGTGGCAATAACATCCGCAGGGTGAATAACCGAAAGGCTTGCTGAGAGCTCACTTCTACCTCCTGATATTCGCCACAGCGCTTCCCCTCCCCGGAAGGACCCCGCGTCATGCGCAGGAGGAGACGGCCTACTCTGCCCCCCAAACGCAGCTCCAGAGCCCCCTCCTCTGGAAAGGCAGACTGAAGTTGGGGTCTCTTCTTAGCATTACCCACGTGCCCCCTTTGTGGGGCCCTTATCACAGCTCTTCTCTGATACTCAGAGCCCCTCCAAGACTTCTTATTCATCTTATAATCCCGGTACCTTTATACCTCACATTTAATACCAGGTCCTCAGACACATTTGCAAAGTGAAATAATAGTGAAGGAAAGAATGACCTGGATAAAGCAGTATGTAGCTTAGTGTTAGTTACATAGCCTTATGTAGTGTACTTAATTTAAATAATACACAGTACTAAAGATTCTCCCGGTAGAGTCCCTCTAACATTAATACTTTGCATTACAGCTTACGTGAGATCTGTGAGTTAATGACTAACCATATCCAAAGTCCAAGACAGAAGTTTAGCAATTAACGTGAAAGGCCGCGTCTGTTTTCACATGTCTTTCACGTGATTTCAAAGGTTTTGTTACTTCACCTGCTGTTGGGGTTTCCATAGTCATACTGGTCTAGCTTGGTCAGTATCAGCACCGGAGCTAACGACTGAGCAGGTTTGGTAAACAAAGCATTGAATCCAAAAACTACCGAAGAAACGGGTGACCTGGAACAGACAAAAACAGCGTGGGTCTTCATCACATACAAACGGCACCCGTATGCACGTACGTGTGCAAGTACACACATGTACATGCATGTATCGAGGACCTCTGCACCTGTGAAGTCCTCCTAGACACTAAGTAAATAATAATAGAAGTAAGAGGGCCGGGGGTGTAGCTCAGCGGCACAGCGCCTGCCTGGCAAGTGCAAGGTCCTGAGTTTGATTCCCAGTACCAAGAAACCCAAAAAAACAAAAATAGAAATAACATAAAATAGTAACCTCTTAGTTTTATGGGATTGTAGCACTAGAAGAACTTATATCTTAATGAAGAAATTAAACCCCAAAGAGAAGATACAGCTGCCCTCTTAAATTCTCAGCGAGTGAGCTCTGTGTGCCCTCAGCATATAAGTGTGCTACGTGTATACTTTACTCAAGCCCCACAGCAATGCTGTGAGGAAGGGATTATTACCGCTATCGTAGAGATAGGAGATCAAGCGGACCCATCCGCAGTCACCTGACTGGTAACGGGTGAAACTGGGACTCACACCCAAGTCTTTCTGTCCAAAGTTCCTTAAGGATTACTTTAACATATTCCTACTGAGAATCCCACCATGTAATTTTTAAATGACCATACCATATGAAATAAGTGCACTGGCTCAATAAAATAAAATCTCGTCATATTTTAACTAGTGATATAATCCTTGCAAATAAGGAAGAGAAAGAGAAAAAAGAAAGGTGAAGAAGAAAGGATGAGAAGAAAAGACAGATAAAACCAAAGAACTGAAGGAAGTTTGACTTGATGACATGAACTTGGATTCAATTCCCAGGTCCTTAACCTGCCAGTGATGTTACGTTAGGGAAGTTAATCACAGAAGTGTCTTGGTTTCCTGGAGACGGGGACAGTTATGATTGTACGGCAGTATCATTGCTGTCTATCTGCCCCACAAGACTACAAATGCCGTAAGGACAGGACCCACATCAACAGAAAACCTTCCTCTCTGACATGACCGGTGCATTTGGCTAAGGAGCAAAAGTCTAAAAAACAGAAGAAGACACATTAGCCGTTCTGTATTAACTGGAGTCATCCATCATCCTTTGCTGGTTTTCCTTTGAGGACCGTAGGCTGATGAAAACAAAGTATTAGAGACATTATGAGACACACAGTTTCTACCCTGTTACAGAGAGCACAGGGCCGTCTGAGTGGAGAATACCTTTAGATTTTAATGGCTTTTTCCTGAAACATTTACGGTTCTCACTCAAATGTGATGGTAATTCTGGGTACCACTTCCCTTTTCCATTCCTTCCAAAGCATTCATCTTAGTTTGCATAGAAATAACTTCCATTTCCTAAATTTATATAATGTAAGTGTAATTAAAATTTGTAATTATAAACTAGCTGTCCTCCCACAATCCTGTCATCCCAACTACTTGGGAGGTGGAGGCAGAAAGATTGCAAGTTCGAGGCCAGCCTAGACAGATGATTTATGAAAAAATAAAAGGCCGGGGCTGTAGCTCAGCGGCACAAGCGCCTGCCTGGCAAGCGCACGGTCCTGAGTTTGATTTCTGGTGCAAAAAAAAAAAAAAAAAGAGAAAATGAAAACAAAAAGGGCTCACGACGTGGCTCAGTGGTAGGGGACTTGCTTGGCATGCGTGAGACCCTGGGTTCAATCCGCAGTGCCAAACACATAAACAAATATTTCTAATTATGATAATGAGGACATCTGGCAGTAACAGATCTGACATAAAAAGCAGGGGCCCTTGTTAAGGGCACAGCTGCGCTGCGGGAGCAGAAAGCACGGGCGTCCTCAAGTAGCCACTTATTCCGCAGCGCACCGCACGCTGTACGCACAAGTAGGTGCGATTTAGGAGGAATAAAGAACACCAAGGACCCTGGAGAGTCCATTACAAGACGGGCTGTGTTGTATCCCTGGCGTCTCCCTCGTTGCCTGACACACCGGGGCAATCAATCAGCATTTGTCGAGTCAGAAATTAATATTTACCACTCGAGGCTGCTGTGAGCCACCAACGATCAAGCAGGCACTCAGTGTGTGCGTGTACCGGCATTTGGTAAACGTGGGTGTCCTCCCTTGCCAACCTTCTGAGACACTTTGTCTATTGTAACCTATTTCATTCAAAAAGGGTTTGAGGACTGGGGGTGCGGCTCAGTTGTGGAGCGCATGCTGAGCATGCATTAGATCCTAGGTTTGATCCCCAGCACCAAAAGGGAGACAGAGAGACAGAGACACGACACAGACAGACACACAGACAAAGAGACACCGACAGAGACAGAGTTTACTGAAGTTACTGCTTCTTGTTTATTTCCACAACAAAAAGCATTTGAACCAGCCACTTTTCTAGGCACGAAGGACACAAAAGTGAAGCGGAGAGGGCCTGAAGTGCAGGGGCGCTCGTCTGTCAAGGGTTTCTCAGGCTGCAGACGTACAGGGGCCCGACTCCGAGACGGGAGCGGAATTACTGAGAGCAGAGACCAAGCAGCAGGCAAAGCTCTCCTTCATTTAAATTGCATTTCTTTAAAAAAGAGGCGACACGAACAGGGGAAACATTTCCAGACATCTGTATCATACAGGAAACAACATTTTGGATAGACGCGAAAAAACACAGGAAATAAAGAGCTGATAAGAATGTTCGTCTGTTTTAAACAATACATTCTTTTCTCATCCATAAAACAGGACACATATCAGACAATAACTGTCATTCCAGACAATTTTATGACTGCTCTAAAATGCTTAGAGGGGCTGGGGGTTTAGCTCAGCGGCACATCGCCTGTCTGGCGAGCCCAAGGTTGTGAGTTCGATTCCCGGTACCGGAAAAAAAAAAAAAACACACACACCAAAAAACTAAAATGCTTAGAGCCGCACCAGGGGACAAAACCTCTTCTTATCAGCTTAGACTTCTGTAAGAAGGACTATGATGGGCCTTGGTTTTTCATTTTAATTCTTGCAGTGTCATAAAGCAGAGGCCACTTTGCCTTACTGCCTGGTGCACCTTGGATTATGCAGACTAAAATATACTACGATACTAACTGGGATTTCACTTTGTCTTGTGAGGTTTACCCTTTCGTAGCAATGGCTATGTGAACCTGAGGGATAAAAATTATGATGTTCTTTCAAAGGTACAGAAAAGCTGCCCAGGGCAAACCAATATGAACGTCCTATGACACCGGGATCACCTCTCTCGTGTGGGATTTGTGGCGTTCACATAGCCGGGGTGTGCAGCCTGTGATAGGCCCTGCCTGTGTGTGACAACCGTGTAGCTGGTATCCGAATAGAATATACTTACTTTCTATTGAACTTCAGTACATCTGCATCGACCATATCCACCAGGGGCAGATTAAATAGACAAGAGGCAGCTTGCACAATTGTCCTAAAAAAGAGTTAAATTACTGTGCAAAGATGAACACTATTTTGTGTCTTAAAAAACATATCCAATCAAAGTTGACATTTGGTTTGCAAGAAGGAAAAAGGAAATAATATAAAAGTAAAGATGTATTAGGCACATACGTCTATACCCCAAACATATATCTGTAAATATATAATTCTCTTTTGAAAACGAAGTGAGTGGGCTAAGGGCATGGCTCAGTGATAGATACTGGCTTAGGATATTTAAGACCCTGGATTCAATCTCTGACCACCAGAAAAAGAAAAAAAAATTATAGTACTTACCCTTGAGGTTTTTAAAATGGTTTTTATGCGCCATCCCTCTCTCTCTCTCTCTCTCTGAGACAGGGTCTCACTGTACAGTTCAGGCTGGCCTTGAGCTCACTATCTATCCTAGGCTGGCCTCAAACTCACATGATTCTCCTGCCTCAGCCTCCTGAGTCCTGGGATTACAGGCCTGCACCTCCACACCTGACTCTCTATGCTTTTTCTTATTTCCAAATAACTACCTGGTCATTAAATTTGTGTAAATTATAACAGAACAGAACTCTCCAGGGAAGATCATCAGATAGCTTTCTCTTAATATCAACAATAGGATAAGGTAAGAACCCTAAACAGATATGTAACATTTATAATATTTTAATTATGATGTGAAAGTAAAAATGGGGGAAAGATATAAGTATTAAAAAAAAAAAATACAGGAGCCAGGTACAGTGGTTCACACTTGTAATCCGATACTCTGGCAGGCTGAGGCCGGGAGACCACAAGTTTGAGTCCCGCCTGGAAAACTGAGCAAAACCCTGTCTTAAAATTTTTTTAAAAAGGGCAGGGGATCCAGCTCAGTAGCAGAATATCCCTGGGGTTGATCCCCAGTATCAAAGGAAAAAAAAACCAAACAGGAGTTGGCTCTTGTGCTTAAGACATACAGTGTTGCCAGGGATATAGCTCAGTGGCACAGCTCCTGCCTGGCAAGTGCAAGGTCATGAGTTCAATTCCCGGTACCAAAAACAAAAACAAGACACATAATGTTCTTTTTGTTTTGTTTTGTTTTTTGTTTTTTGTTTTTCTCTGGTACTGGGAACCAAACTCACGACCTTGCGCTTGCCAGGCAGGCGCTTTGCCGCTGAGCTAAATCCCCAGCCCCCGACACATAATGTTCTTTTCCCTAAAAAAATAAGTAAAAATGTAAAAAGCAAACAAAAATTTTTATTCTAAAAATCACTATTTAAATATCATTTTAAATATGACATTGCCAGGCCCTTTCACAGAGATTTACAGGATAGCTATCTATCTACCTGGGGTTCTAATGAATCCTTTGGGTTAATTACTATACTCTCCATTACCAAAGTGCTAAAAATGCAAATAAATCTTCATGAGATTTTTCCTAGACTGTTCCAGCAGAGATGGGGGATAGGGTTTATTAATTTATTCATTCCAAACACATTTCCTATGGACCAACTGTAGGTCAGTGGGCCATCACAATTGGATACTAGACCTGTAGGTCAGTGGGCTGTCATGATTGGATACTAGACCTGTAGGTCAGTGGGCCGTCACGATTGGATACTACACCTGTAGGTCAATGGGCCGTCATGATTGGATACTAGACCTGTAGGT